TATATGGGAGTGGTGGCGCAGAGGTTAGAGAGGTGGGCTTGTGATCCGAAGATCGCCGGTTCACGCCCCGGCCCCGACAACATCAAAATTGTGGGTGGAGTAAGTGAAACACCCACACTTGCCCCCACCCTCATTCGCCCCACTCTGGGCCCATGAGCAAGGCCCTTAACCCCCACCATGTGCTCCCTAAACAGGTCTCTCTTGAAAATGAGTTCTCGTGGCTCAATGAGACTAACCTGGATAAATAAAGGCTAAATGAAAAAAAAAAAATATATATATATATAAACCATGTATATGCGTTAAGAGTTCAGAGTCAGAGAGAGTCAGACATTCTTTATTGTCATTTGCATCACATGTGGTACATGTAGTGGAACAAAACTGTGCACACAGGGTCCCAGTTACATCCAGCAATAGCAAAAATATAAAGTGTAAAAAGAAACAGTAAACAAGGATCTGAGATATAAACTAAGATATACGCTAAACGAACGTCAAACAGTATGCTAAAAGATCTAAGATATATGCCAGTCACTAATAGTGCAAAACAATACACCGAATAACAGCAGCATGATTCTCATAGTTTCTGTTCAGCTATAATTTACATGCTTAATGCGAGCACTAACATTAAATTAACATAAACTGGGATTTATTCAAAGCATGCAACAAAAATACGGAAACAAGGCATCAAAAGTAAAAAAGAAATAAATCTACAGCAGCATGGTCCAATTGGCAAAGTTAAAGTTGTTTTGTCTTTGTGAAGTGGAGCCAGCAGGAGCACGGAGCCTGCGCACGTGATAAACTTCAAGGCCCTAAGCTGTGAAGCAGAGTTGTCTTGGCTTGGCCTCTGTCTGATAATGGATTTTACCGTATTTTCCGCCATACACGTCGCACCGCCCTGTAAGTCGCATCAGTCCATTTTTGTCTAATAAAGTGGAAAAATTCATAAATATGTTGCTTCTCCGTATACGTTGAATCTATTACCGCTGACGTCACCGCTGACAACCCGGAAATATGGGCCGAACCCGGAAACGTGGGCCGGTGTTGTGCCAAAAATCAATGAGCTGCCAAATGGCGGCTGTGGGAGTGTGCACGTGAGAACTTTAACAAGAATTTAACTAAAACAGTTAAAAACAATTATTTGTTTGCTCGAAATTTTAGAAAAGGTGTGTCGCAGTGTCACACTTTCTTAATAAATGCACTTTGATGGTCAAATTAGCTGCATTTTGCCGGGGTGGTGCAGATGTTTTGACGGTTCCAAGCATAGAGCAGAATGAAGGTGGGGGGACTATGGGAGGCAGATTGAGTCATTAGAAGCTGGTGAAGATTCTCAGTCATCCAGGACATGGTAAATTCAAAATAGTTTAAGAAAAGAAACAATAAAATATAAAGAATAAATAAAATCCAGTTTTTGTCTTGAACTTTTTTGAATTTGCCATTATAGCCACGTTTACCTATTACATGATACAACAGTATGCCATACTTGTATTACTACTCTGCTGCCATCAAGTGGCTGAAAGTGGTACTGCTCTTTTTTTTTTGTCAGAATAAATGAAAACGGTCATATTTCAGCCAAAAAATAGTTTATAAATATGGGAAAAAAAATCCATAAATATGTCGCTTCGGCTTATAATTCGCAGGGCATGTAAATTGTGCAAAAAAGTGTGACTTATATGGTGGAAAATGCAGTAAGCTTTTGTTAAACAGACCACAGTTAGTGAGGATCCACAACTTCTCCTCCTCCACCATAACCTTCAGCACTGGCTCTCCTCAGGGATGTGTGTTGAGCCCCCTCCTGTTTACTCTGCTCACGTATGATTGTGCAGCTACCCATCCAGGCTGTCACATTGTAAAGCTTGCAGATGATACAGCGGTGGTGGGATGCATCACAAACAATGATGAGTTCAGCTACAGGCAGGAGGTGGAACACCTGGAGAGCTGGTGCAGAGAGAATAACTTTCACATCAATGTGAAGAAGATAAAGGAGATGATTGTGGACTTCAGAAGGAACAAACACACCTACACCCCCCTGAACATAAGAGGATCTGCAGTGGAAGTGGTCTCCTGCTACAAAGTACTTGGGTGTACACATGAATGACAACCTCAGCTGGAGTAACAACACCACCAGCCTGATCAAGAAAGTTCATCAGAGACTCTACTTCCTCAGACGGCTGAGGCGAGCTGGTCTGGGAAGCTCAGTCCTCACCTCCTTCTACAGGTGTGCAGTGGAGAGCATCCTGTGCTCCTGCATCAATGTGTGGCATGGATGCTGCACAGCTGCAGGAAGAAAAGCTTTGCAGAGAGTGGTGAAGGCTGCACAGAAGATGTTGGAGTCAGCCTCCCCACCATCACAGACATTTATACCTCCAGATGCAGGAAGAGGGCCACCTGCATCATGAAGGACCTCACTCACCCAGCACACACACTTTTTTGCCCCGCTCCCCTCAGGAAGGAGGTTGAGGAGCATTAAGTGTAGAACCACTAGACTGAGGAACAGCTTCTACCCTGAGGCTGTTAGACTCATGAATCTCTAACCAGAATAATCACTGTGAAAAACCATATCATGTTGCTGCTGATCTGTTTCATGTTGCTGCTGATCTGCTGATCTGTTTCATGTTGATGTGTTCATCTGTGCTCATCTGTTCACACAGACTCATGTTCATGTTCGTGCTGCTGTTCGACGTAATGTTTTTTTATGCTGTTAGTGCTTAGTGTATATTTAGTTGATGTTTTTCTTAGTTCATATCTTAGATGTTATTACTGTTTTTCTTTTACATTTTATTGTTGGATGTAACTGGGACCCTGTGTACATAGTTTCGTTCCACCACGAGGTGGAATGAAAATTAAGAATCTCTGACTCTTTCTCTGGGAGCAGACCTTATGAGACAAAGCGCCATGTAACCTATGATGCTTGTATGTCAACGCTGCTCCATCTTGTAAGATTAAACCTGGGTTGATAAAGACCTTCTGGTCTCCTTGTGGCGCTCATTTATTTATTGAATTGATGGATTTGATAATTAAATTATCCAACAGTTTTCCACCATGTCCACTTCTGTCTGTGTCACCAGGCTAGTTGACCTGAATTTTGTATTTTTCTTATGCTTGAATCACAAAACTGAAAACAGTATTTTAAAAACAGTATAAATCTGGGCCTCCCTACTTAGGCTGCTACCCCCGCAACCCGACCCTGGATAAGCAGAAGAGAATGGATGGATGAAAACAGTATTTGTTATCTATACCAGCTTCAAAGTCCAGAACAATCAGGTGCAAGGCATGAGATGATTGGAGACAGTTTCATTCTGATGGAAAGTGAAAACATGCCTCTACATCGGTATCCGCCTCATTACCTCTTTCATGTGGGGTCCCACAGGGTTCGATTCTTAGACCCCTTCTGTTCTCACTTTATTTGCTCCCACTGGGGTCCATCCTGAGGAAACACGGTCTTTCATTCCATTGCTATGCTGATGACTGCCAAATCTACTTGCCTGTGAAACCAGCAAGTGTTTGCTCCATTCACCCGCTGTTAAAATGTCTGGATGACATTAGGGCCTGGATGGCTTCAAATTTCTAAAGTTTTAACAATGACAAGACCGAAGTCATTGTTTTTAGCCCTAACTCAACTGCCACCACTGATCCTGTCAACCTGGACTCTCTTCAGCCATATCTGAAGCAGTCTGGTAAAAATCTCGGGGATTGTTTTAGACTCTGACTTCAAGTTTGACAAACAAATCAACTCTGTTCTGCAGAAAAGCTTCTTCCTACTCAGACAGGTAGCTAAGCTCAAGCCAGTGTTGTCCAGATCCGACCTTGAGAAACTAGTCCACGCCTTTGTCACGACCCGATTGGACTATTGCAATGCACTGTATGCTGGGATCAGCCAGACCTCCATCTCACATCTTCAGCTCGTCCAGAATGCTGCTGCTCGGCTTTTAACCGAAACTCTTATGTCTGAACATATTACACCAGTTCTGTCCTCCCTTCACTGGCTCCCTGTTCCTACGAGGATAGTTTTTAAAATTCTTCTGCTGACCTTCAAATCCTTAAATGGCCTCGCACCCCTTTACCTCTCTGAGCTTCTGGAACTTTACGTTCCCTCTCGGGCCCTGAGATCATCCGATCAGCTGCTTTTGGTTGTTCCAAAAACAAGAAGCTCAGAGGAGATCGGGCTTTTTCAGTCATGGGGCCCAAACTGTGGAACAACCTGCCCCCCAACATCAGGCAGGCCACCTCCCTTCCTCACTTCAAATCTCTGCTAAAAACACATCTGTTCTCTCAGACATTTCACACAGTGTAAATTGATCTAGTGTTTTTTTTAATCTGTGTCCCTATGTTTTAAATGCTTTTTATTAATTCTTCAGTAATTATTATTATTAGTGTAATGTATATATATGTTTATATATTTGTCTCTTTAATTTAATCATTGATTGTTGTTGTTGTTGTTGTTGTTGTTGTTGTTGTTGTTAAGCACTTTGATAACAGGTTCTGTTTTAAATGTGCTCTATAAATAAAGTTGACTTGACTCTACCATTCGTGGGTCATCTCCAGCTCCTGCAAGTGGCTAGCAACGTGGTGTACAAGCACATGAGCCAAGTTAACGCAGCTACAGCCACCACCAGAAGCAGCAATGTACAGGAACAACCACGGAGTCAAACAACTAGAGAAGAACATCACGAGTAGAAGGCAACAAGTAGCACTCAAACATCAAGCTTTCACTTGGTAAGTAAGGGTAAATAAAACTCTACAACTGCAAAGTTAGTTCAAATGAGTCAACAACACAAACAAATTCAATCTTACATTTCATGTAATGTTTAAATAATTGTTGCATTAACTCATAGATGTAACAGGATTTCATCAAAATGTGTTGACAGTTTTAGGAATTAAAATTTAGGTTTAATTTAGGTTTATAAGAATCAAAAACATATACCAACAACATTTAGGTAAAAAGTAAACTAGGCCCTAAACCTGTAAGGTAATGTGAAGGCAGTTTGTGTTGAAACAGGACGTACCGTTTCTCTCGAAGCTTTTCAATGTACTCGAACTTTGGGGTTAATACCCCATTAGAGGTGATGACAGCCTGAGAAACAGATAAATAATAAAAATCAAATTACAAAAAATCTGTTTACAACAATAACTAAACAACTAAAGGCTTAATTAACTACATGTGTATACTGTTAAACAGTACAGTTTACATACAAGTGCTGAGACAAAACAAAGTTTGGTGGTTTATAACTTATACACATAAAAGAGCCTCCAGAGTTCAAATTCATTCAACTTTTTAATATTTTGTTACAATAAAATAAATAAAAAAAATCAAAGGATGGCCCAGCATCATCAGGCCAGGACTCTGTGGTCTACACTCATCTCCAGGCCAGCGGTCACTCGTTCAGGGATGAAGATGTTCACATCCTGGACAGAGAGGAACGATGGTTTGAGAGAGGAGTAAAGGAGGCCATCTTTGTGAAAAGAAATCGTCCATCATTAAACAGGGGTGGAGCATCCGGGTTCAACTGTCCCCCTCTTACAATGCTGTTATTGCTAGTATCACTCAACCCCCTGTCAATAGCAAACAGCCATCAGGGTGCTAATGATCCATCGTTAGGCTGATGGTCCTTCTTGGTCATGTGAGCAGCTGTTCTATTTCGTATAGGCTTCGCCCTTTAAGGCTATCGCTAGTGGGGTTTATCCCTTTGCATGCAACACAGCACTGAAAACTTTAGTCCAAGCCCACCTGCTGTGTGGGCCTCACACCCGGTCTGTATAAATTACAGTGAGACTGGGTAATCAGCTCCCATTTTTTCTTCAGCCAGCTAGCTAGCACTTTCAGAAGATCCAAGAAGGAAAAGTTGTCCAGCTTTGACCGGTACAACTTTTGCTAAGGATGCATGGGTCTCCGTCACGCCAACCTCCTGCCGTCCCGGTGAGCTCTTCCTCCCCGAGGAGAAGCAGAGACGAGCAGCCTTGTTCAAGGTAAGCGCCGAGGAGTGCTTTTCCGTGTCGGGCCGCTACCCACTGGACGACGCCATCGCCTTTTCTAACGTTTTTTCCTCGCGGTGAATCGGATGATTCCCTCAAAAAATGCGTTGTTGGCAGCAGCCCAACTGAGTGTTTTCTCCGTGGAGGGCTGATATTTGCTGGACGACGCCACCGCCTTTTCTAACGTGTTTTCCTCATGGTGAATCGGATGA